ATGATTATTTCTCAAAGGCTATTTAATAACACCAAAATAAACTGTTTCTATCAAATATATTGGAGATAATATAAGTAGATAAATAATTGGTCACTGGATGGGAAAGAACATTCTAAGTATGAAAATCATGAAAGAAATCAAAAGACCAATCAGACTAACGTAAAATTTTCTTTAAGAAAAAGTTATTAAACAAAATGAAAAGGCAATAAGAAACATGAAATATACTTATTTCAAGTTATGTAAAGAGGGGTATCACTATTTTAAACACTGCTTATAACCTAAAGGTAAGAACATTAATACACAAACAGAAAAAAAAAATGTGCAAAGGAATAGAAGATAATTTCCTTACAAAGTGACTAAAAGCACAGGAAAATGTTTAAACATAGCAATGATTTTTAAAGTATGAAACAGATAAAAATGAAATTTCATTTTCATCTATCAAAATGCAACTTGAATACAGTATCTTACGGTCAGCAAGAATACATGGTTTGGACAGCTTTCTGACAAGGAGTGGGATGCTTAACTGGGATGTAAATGATCTAATTCTTCTAATTCATGTAAAATTTACATGTGGTATGATGGCTGTGTGCTGTGGAGTCAGTTCTGACTCATAGCAACCCTGTAAAGGGTTTACAAGGCTGTGAGTCTTTACGGGAGCAGAATGCCTCAACTTTCTCCTGCGGAACAGCTGGTAGTTTAGAACTGCTGACCTTGCGGTTCACAGAGAGATTCGTAACCACTACGCTACCTGAGCCCCAGGAAGTGAAAGCACTCAATAGAAACATGAACAGTAAAGTTGATACTCAAATCAGAAAAATTTATTATACCAGCTAGTACGTAAGTTTGTTAGAGCTCTAAAAATAAAAGACACCATTCTGCCCAGCAGCCTTTATTTCAGAACACTGTTAGCTGCTCAAAGAAGTAGCATCAGAGTTGGTAAAGTAGACACGTACTCTTTTAGTCAAAGAACCGTCTCTTATCTTTTTTTAACAACTACTTTTTACCAATTAAAGAGTATTAAGGCATATATAGTTTAGATCTTCTTTAGAGACATATTTACTGGAATACCTCCTCAAATCAAATTAATTTCAATGCAAAGAAATTTAAAATAATTCAGAACTGAAATCATTTCACTGACAACTGGTCATTTTCATTATACTGTAAAATTATATGAGCCAAGAAAACATTTAGCAATTTCCAAGAAACAATGTTAACCCTGGCTAGGTGATTTATGAAATGGTGGACTGCCCTTAAACTTAGCAGTTTTTGAACAAGCGTGGACGTGGGGACACCTCATTTTATTGCACTGCTGTGCTCTGCAGATAGTGCTTTTTTTTTTTTTTTAAACAAATTGAAGGTCTGCGACAACTCAGCGTCAAACATGTCTATTGGTAGCATTTTCCCAAAACACGTGCTCACTAAATCTCTGGGTTACATTTTTATAATTCTAAAAAAAAAAAAAGTCACGTTTTCAAAATGCCACCTGTACAGTTACTAGATGATGGTATAGTGTAAACGCAAATCGTCTACGCACCAGGAAACCAAAGTAAACCCTGAGCCTCACTACACCGCACTGTGGTGTCGGGAACGGAGGCCACAGTATCTTCAGGGATGCCTACACACATGAGCACTACAGTGAAAAGCTAATCTGATTCTCAATGAAACATCATGAGCTGAAAAGAAATCGAACGTAACTGACTTTTTAACGATTTTCACCAAAGTCATGGTAAGCATTACATACAAGCCTTTAACAAAACCCAAAACCAAAATCCCAATAGTGACTCCTTTTTCAGTTTAATTATTTTATATAAACTATAATTGCGGCAAGCATTGGACTGTGAACCAAAAGACTGGCGGTTCAAGCCCACCAGCCAATTTGTGGGAGAAAGACCAGGCTTTCTGCTCCCAAAAAGAATTAGAGCCTTGGAAACCCTATACAGGGTCACTATAAATCAAAACTGAGTCACAGCACTTAACAGTAACAGCCCAGTTCTTGCTAGTCTACCAGCTGTCAGTCTGTCCTCCTGTGTGGCTGGCATGCTGCTGTAATGCTGGACGCTATGTCACCGCTATTACAGGTTCCAGGAGTTACCAGACAATGGCAGACTAGGAAGAAGAGAGACGTGGTCAACTTCTGAAAACTGAGGCACCGAAAACCTCATGAATAGCAGTGAAACACTGTCTGATGTAGAGTCGGAAAATAAGCCCCTCAGTTCGTAAGCCACTCAAAACACAACTAGTCTCAAAATCGACCCCAGCTTTTTGACGTAGATTGAGCACAGCTCTTTGGACCTTTACTTGTTTATGTGTCATGACTTAAAGTAACAAAAAAAAAAACCCTACAAACATCCATCACTAGTCAGAACAGGAAAATCAGAAGTCATCAAACATACAACGGAATGCATTAAGATCGATTCCCTAGGTATTAGTGACCTGAAGTGGTATTACAGGAAATTCTGAAGTGGACAGTCATATGGTCTACTATGCCAACAATGACAAATTGAAGAGAAAGGGCCATCACAATCGTAGTTAAAAAAGAACATTTCAATATGGATCCTGAAGTCAATGTTGTCAACGACAGGCTAATATCCACACATATACAAGAAAGACCAGTTAGTTAACACCGCTATTATTCAGATCGATGCATCCACCACTAAAGCCAAAGAGGAAGACACTGAAGCATTCTACCAACTTTTTCAGTCTGAAATTGATAAAAATGCAATCAATATGAATTGATAATTACTGATGATTAGAATTTCAAAGTTAAAAACAAGAAGGAGTAGTAACTGGAAAATATGGTCTTGGGGACAGAGTGGACACCAGGTAACCCACAACAGATGATAAAACCAAAGGCTTATTTCATTGCAAGTAACATTTTTCAACAACATAAATGGTGACTATCCCGGGGTCCTGGTGTGGCGCTGTAGGGTAAGCAATGGACAGTAAGGTCAGCGATTCAAAATCACCAGTTACTCTTCAGAAACACTATAAATGGTCACTATGAGTCAGAACCGACTCAGTGGCACACAACAACAACAACAACATATGCATTATATCTGGCTAGGTTCATGTGTAAGAATGAAATTAATGCTACCTAAATTCAACTTGAAGCTAAAAAAATTAAAACGAGTCCATGCGAGCCAAAGCATGACCTTGACCATATCTCACCTGAATGTAGAGACCATCTCAAAGACAGACTTGATACACTAGATACTAATGGCCGAAAAGCAGAAGAGTTGTGGGATGAGATCAAGAACGTCATATAGGAGGAAAGCAAAGGTCATTAAGAAGACAAGGAAGAAGGAAAAGCTCAAAATGGATGTCAGAGTCAGAAACTTGCTCTAGAACACAGAGAAGATAATGTGGCTGAAAGAAATGATGATGCCAAAGCCTTGAACAGAAACTCTCAACGTGCAACTTGAGAAGACAAAGTATTGTAATGAAACATGCAAACACCTGGAGTTAGAAAACCCAAAGGGAAGAGCACACTCGGCCATACCACACGGGTTGCACCCACCCTCATCTTGTCTCTGAAGCTAAACATGTTCAGGCCTGTTTAATTCTTGGATGGGAGGCTGCTTGCAAATACCGGTGATGCAGGCATTGTGCATGTGCGCACTTCCACTGGCCTCTCTCTTTCTCAAGATGAAAGAAATAAAGCAAAGGAAGTGTGAAAAGAGGATGGAAGAAACACAGAGAGTTACTGTACCAAAAAGAACTGGTTGGCATTCAACCATTTCAAGATTTAGCACATCATCAAGACCCAAACGCACTGAAGGAAGAGGTCCACACTGCACTCAAGGGATCGGAGGAAAATAAGGATTGACAGAGCATCAAGGGAAATGTCTCAACAAACCACTAGAGCAATGGAGGCGTTCGCTTGTCTAAACCAAGATTTATGGAAGACAGCTGGCCAACCAGCCAGGGTGACATCCATATTTGTGCCCATCACAAAGACAGGTGATCAACAAAATGTGGAAATTATCAAACAATATCATTATATGTAAACAAGATTTTGCTGAAGAACTTCAAAAACGGTGGCTGAAGCACATCAACAGGGACCTGGCAGAAATTCATAGCCAGATTCCTACGAGGAGGCGGCACCGGGGATATCACTGCTGATGTCAGGTGGGTATGAAAGCAGAGAATATCAGAAAGACAGACGTTTGTGTTTTATTGACTATGCAAAAGCATTTGACTCTGTGGATCCTAATAATGGCTAACATTGCAGAGAACAGAAATTTCACATCACTTAAATTTGCATATGAATAGCCTGACCAAGAGGCAGTCATTGGAAGAGAACAAGGGACCCAGTGCATGGTTTAAAATGAGGAAAGGTGTGCATTGGAGTTGTATCCTTTCAACACCCTTACTCAATCCGTATATTGAGCAAATAATCCCGTAATATGACGAAGAATGCAGCATCTGGACTAAAAGATGCTCATTAACAGCCTGTGGCATGCAGATCACACAAGCTTGCTTGCTGAAAACAGAGGACTTGAAGCACTCACTGATGAAGATCAAAGACTACAGCCTTCAGTATGGATTACACCTCAACACAAAGAAAAAAAAAAAATCCTCACAACTGGACCAATGAACATCGTGATAAGCAGAAACAAGACTGAAGCTGTCTAGGATTCCATTTTACTGCGATGCACAACCAGCGCCCATAGAAGCAGAGTCAAGAAATCAATGGACTTTGCACATGTTACCTGGAGGGACCAGTTCCTGGAGAAGGACCTCATGCTTGGTAAAGCAGAGGGTCAGCCAAACAACAAGAAGACCAACAAGACGGATGGACACACTGGCTGCAGCAATAGCGAGGACTGTGGGGACAGTGAAGGCCGAGTCAGGGCTGACGGGCGACCCATGAACATAGTAACAACTACAGATCGTCAGGAGTTGTTCAAAGTGATATGCAGCTGCTGAAAGTCAGTGTTTGTGGGGAATATATATAAGATGAGTGCACACTGTCTTTTGAATGCCTATCTATAGTTTACCTGGCATATTTCTCAGGAGTTTTGCATTACACATATGTCCTTTCCGTATGTCAGTGAGGATATATTCCATGCGTTTAGCCCGCCAAAGGAAGTTAAATACCCTTAGGTAGTGGCTCATGCACTCTCGTGTAAACACCTGAAAAGAACAGCAGAAGACAGGTTGATAGTATTACATGGCATAAGGATCCTTCCAATACACATTTTTCTTTTTTGTTTATTTTAAACAATAAAACCATTGCATACGCAACCAATTCTAACAAATTGCAAACAGTATGCAAGTAACTAATATGGTACCTTTTAGAAAAGTATCCTAATCACACAACAGACACATGCATGAAATATTTCTATGCTAAGGAATATACTGGAGTCCTGGTATGGCGCTGTAGGATTAGTACTAGACCACATGGTTGGTGGTTCAAACCACCAGCTGCTCCTTGGGAACCCTATTCAGGTTTGCTACGAGTTGGGACCAGCTCAACAGCACTTAACAACAGCAAGAAATAAACTAAGCAAACTCAAAAGTGCCATAAGCAGATGTTCATTTCACCTGGTTCCACAATCAGTTCCCATGGAAGTATTCATCAAGAAAATAAATGACATATGGCATTGGGCACATTTTCTGTGGGAGACTTCTTTAAAGTATTAAAATGCAAAGATGTTCCTTTTAGGACTGAGGTGCAGGGACCCAAGCCATCGTACTTTCAATCACCTCATTTACATGAAAAAGCTGGACCAGGAATAAGGAAGACCAGAAACAAAGACAATAATTTGAAGCAAGGAGCTCTGGTAGCATAGTGGTTATAAATCGGGCTGCGAACCGCAAGGTAAGCTGTTCGAAACTACCAGCTGCTCCATGGGAGAAAGATGAGGCTTTCTGCTCCCGTAAAGATTTACAGCCTCGGAAACCCTGTACAGGGTCGCTGTGGGTTGGAACCGACTCCACGGCACTTAACAACAACAACATTGAAGAATACTGACTATATCTCTAACTGTCAGAAAAACAAACAAATCTGTCCTGATGAAATACACTTTGAATGTTCCTTAGGAGAGAGAATGACAAGATGTCAGCTCACACATTTTGGGACATGTTCTCAGGAGGGACAGACCTTGATAAAGAGAAGAATTAGCGAAAAACAGTAAGACTCTCAAGGAGATCAGGTGACACCATGGCCACAATCATGGTCTCAAACATAGCAACGATAATGAGGACTGACAGGGACCAGACAGTGTTTCATTCTACTATACCCAGGGCCACTGTGAGCTGAAACTGACCTGATGCCACCTAACAACATTTTTAACAGCCCTGGTGACAGTGTAGAATAAGCAACAGACTGCCTGCTGGCCACCAGTCTCTCCTCAGGAAAAAGATAAGGTCATTTGTTACCATACAGTTTTGAAAACCCTTCGCAGGGTTGCTATGAGTCAGCATCGACTCAACAGCAGTGGGTGCTGGGTATTATACATCAACATGTTTATACAAATTTTACAAAAGGGGAGAGAAAGGTCTAAAGTTACACAGCTACTAAAGGCTGAGTACAACTTTTAAATCGATTCTAAATCTAGTCTATTATGTGGACCTAACTGTAACTCCCAATGTGCAGTGACTTTTTCTACCTAAAATCACCTGGGAAGTGTGTGAGAAAGGACCACACTTTCTTTTAAAACAACAGTTTTTCTAACATACTGTTTTAAAAGACTGCATTTCAGTGTGAAGGGAAAGCAGTTTCATAACCAGGGAAGGATGAGCCATGGTCAAGTGGACAGCGTGAGGCCTCCTTTCCACCTCCCACCCAGGGCTGCCAGATTTAGCAAACAGAAAGACAGACTGCTGAGTTCTATTTTAAGTTTCAGAGAAAACATAAATCTGTTCTTAGTGAAAGTATGCCCCCACGTATCCAGGTAACACAGTGCAGTCAGAGATTCTTTAAAAATATGTGTAAGAAACTTGGGGGCATTTTTTTGTACACAAGATGACTTAGAAAGAAAATTTATGTTTATTACCAGTGCTAATACTTAGGAAACTGGAGACAGACTTTCCACAAATTTCCCCTTCATGTCTTCCAAACAGATGTGAATTCTCAACAGCAGGACCAGCTCAGGCATCAAAGCGGTTGTTGCTGTTGTTAAGTACCATGGAGTCGGTTACGACTCACAGTGACCCTGCACAGGGTTTCCAAGGCCGTAAATCGTTACCGGAGCAGAAAGCCTCATTTTTCTCCCGCGGAATGGCTGGTAGTTTCGAACTGCTGTCCTTGAGGTTGGCAGCCCGACTCGTAACCACTACGCTACCAGAGCGCCTTAGTACAGTCTATTCGTAGACCTGGACCCCAGTCTTGCTCACTCAGTACCTGTGGGTCTTAAGTCACACTGTTGTTCCTGTTATTTTCACCTGTCTAAAACCTATCCACACTTCAAGGACAAAAGCTAGACCTTTTGCTGGTCCCACCAATTACCTTCTTCTCTGGACACTTACGGTCTTTATTAGTTGATCCTTACAATTTTTGTATTCAATTGTATACTGCTTTATATCCCCTGACTCCCTTATGTTCTTGTCTATTCTCATCACATAACAAAGGTTACCTATTTTTCAGTATGTCATGTTTGTGCTATTTGGCTGATGCTCAATACATTGATAATAATACAGCACCAATAGCCTGCAAAAGGAATGCGTATGTTAAAAAAACTTCTACTAACAGCTATTGTTCCACAGTAGTTACAACAAATATATTTATTAACTGAACAGAACTAATTAATAGCTGCTTGGAAACCCAAAGCCCCACACCACTGAGTTGAATCAGACTCAGAGCATTCTGGGAAGAGGGCAGAAAGGTTCCTGAGAGTTTTGAAGGTTGTAAAGCTTGATGGGAGCAGACCACCTCATCTTTCTCCCCAGAGGGCTGCTGAGTGCCTACTGCCCACTTAGTGGTTAGCAGTCCAGCTAGATCACCAGGGCTCCTGAACTGTTTTCACAGGACTGTAAAATCAAGTATCAGTGCTTGGGTGTAAAACTAATGTTCTCCCATGTAAACTATCACATAATTCACAATAAAATATTAATACATATATATATATATATATCAGTGCTTGGGGAGATTATCGAATTTGCTATATATACTTCCCATATTATTGATGTTCTTGCAATTACTGAAATTCACGGAAACTAATTTAATCATATTATGTCTAAATGAAAGAATTCTTCACTATACAAATAATATGCTATAGAACTCTTTAAGTACCAAACTCAGTAGTACATTTAACTCTTTAGAAACACAAGGTGGCTTCAAAGAGTTGATGGGAAATTTTCATTACGTCTTAATCCCTTTAAGAGGAAGCATTCATACCCCACTGCATTACTATCGGGGGAGACATCAGATCCATTTGTTGAGTTTGCTATTTACAATGTCTTTCGATTCATCTCTTACTGTAAAGTTGAGAGAAATGCTAAATAGGTATGTTTCTGACAATGGCTCAGGGAGGAAGAGCCACGACAGAAATGAATGAATTCTATCCTGCTAGATGAGTCCTAGTGTGGCACTGCAGGATAAGCACTAGACTGCTAATTTCGCTAACTGCAAGGTGAGCAGTTCAAACCTACCAGCCACTCTTGGGCACCCTAGAAAGGGGATCTTGAGTTGTAACCAGCTCAACAACACATCGCCACCATCACCACTACCACCACCACCAGCCTGCCAGCTGTCAAAATGAGATTAAAGAAAAATTTCCATATTCTTCTTCCACTGATATGAGGCTTTTCTTACCACACACTGAAGTCCTAGTATAGCACTTCAGTATAGTCCTAGGATATGCACTGGACTGCTAACTGCAAGGTTCAAACCCACCAGCTTAGCTGCTCCTTAGAAACCCTATACAGGGTCATTAAGACTCAGAATCAACTCAACAGCACTTAAAAATATTACCACCAAACATTACAACTTTGTGATCTTAAAACAAACTTTAAAATAAATCTTTCCTTAGTTGTATAACCCAAACCAAAACCAACCCACAGACATCAAGTCAACTACTCCTAGCAACCCTACAGGACAAAGCAGCAATCAATGCCCAGGGGGGTCATCTTCAGGAAGGCAGATGGCCACAGCTTTCTGGAGCAGCAGCTGGGTTCGATCCACCAATATTTAGGTTAGTAATCAACCACTTAACCACTGTGGCACCAGTAGCAACATTAAATGGTCTAACCAAAAACTTCTGGATAAAATAATTAATTTTTTCTAAAGAAGTTTACGATTCACTATAAACAAGAGGAACAAAAAATATTTTGAACTTTATTTAGCTAATCTATTTGTAATGAGTTTTAAATTTCTCATATTAATTTTCCAAATCAGACCTCTATTAAATTATTGACATTTTAAATCACAGAATTCATATGTGAAGGTAAAATTTTAATTGAAAGTTATATAAGATAAAACTTTATTATCAGGTTATACAAGATGTTGTTGCTATTAAGTACCATTGAGTTGATTCCGACCTATGGTGACCCTGTATTGGGTTTCCGAAGCAGCTGGTAGGTTTGAACCACCGATCCTGTGGTTAGCAGTCCAGTGGTTATCTTAAAGCACTACATCAAGAATCCAAGTAAGATATGTTCACTTTGTAATTTAACAATCGAATATTGCACACAAAATAATTTTTACAAGATGTTCAGAATATATACCTTGATACTCCTAATAAGATCTGCAACATCATGAACTATCAAATATATACACCATAGTTAAGTTTATTTTAATTATTTTTTAACTATGCTTAGACCCTTTTGTTAAGATGCTTATATTTTAAGAACTAATGTAACTTTATGATGCTATTGTTCATACTGAAAACATATGCAATATACATTATACTAAAAGGCAAGTAATTTAAC